TTAATTAATTAATTCCAAATCATTCCATCCAGATCAACTGCTATCCTTCTCAAATACTAAATACTCTTTATCAATCAACGCAACAACAACAGCCGAGATACATCAATTGACCTTTTTCAAGGCTAAGGGAGTTACAACCACCATGGATATTTCTATCCAAGTAGCTTCAAATTCATATAAATATTTAAAACAATAGGTCCAATAAGATCAGCTGCCTTTCAGATCAAGTCTTTGAATAAACAGTAGGACCTTGATCTCAAGCAAAGGTAAACACCAAGAACCTTGTGTTCATCCACAGTCCCATTAAGTTTTTCCTCTGGGTATTTCTAACAAATGATGACTTTCTAACTTTACCGCTTTCATGCTACAAAAATGAGGCTTAAGCTAATAGGTCACAGGTTCAACAACACTGCAATATATTAAAAAACTATCTAACAATCCAACTCTGCCATGCATGGTCCTCAAGTGTCATTAAATTCGACATATTTCAATGGATTAAGGAAACAGAAACAGAGTCAATAATGTTACATCACGCTCTTGTGGTGTTTGTTCATAGTAAGCACAACCTTTGTCACACTGTCATTTGACTGGTTCCTGAACAAGGTTTTTCCCCCCATGTTGTTCTTAGGGCGACTGTGTCTAAGTTGGTAGAGTCTGATGTCTCTCAATCGGAAGGTCGGGGTTCAATCCCCAACTCCTGCAGCTACGTGTCCGATGTATCCTTGGGCTGCTTTGTCTGCAGCCTACGCATGTGTATGAATGGGATTGGTTACTTTACATAGCAGCCTCTACCATTAGGGTGTGAATGTGTTGGTGTGACCTGCTGTGGAAAAGCACTTTAAGTAGTCAGAGGAATAGAAAAGCGCTTTACAAACTCAAGTCCATTTACCATTTAACCTCCTAATGACAGATCTAAACTTCTTCTTGGTTTGTTTTTTTTTTCTCAGCCCTACATACTGCAAGTACGGATCACACCCTGTAACAATTCATTCCAACACTGCATTAACTGACAGTAAGTCACCTGTTCTGATGTGATACTAGAGTCAGTGTATCTCAGTTCCAACAATACAATGGCTTATTGCGACCTATAGTACCTTGCTGTTACGGCAACCTCAAGAATGACTAGCTAAACAATGTTTGATTCTTTTTTTCATTAGAGTCCAACTTCACCTGCACGTACCATTCCCTTCCAACCTGTGAGGGATGTCTGATCTACACCGTGGACAGCAGAACCAACAATCAATTAATTCACATTATGAACATTGACGAACCTAAGACCATTGCAGAGGTCGAAAGCTATCGAGCTTTTTACTTGATGGGTAAGAAGAACAATAGAGACAATAACTCCTTTGATATATGAAACATCTCTTCATTTTAATTCTATTTAATTTCTTGTCCAGCCAAAGAGTCCACTGTCAAGCACTCAGACCTGGAACATGCCAAGAAGCAGGCGATGTGTCTTGGTTTTACAGGAGAACCAGACTTCATCTACAACCCCGAGAATTGTGCGTGACCTTCATAACTATCTGATTGAATAAGGAAAATGATTTGTGTGATTTTGGACCACCATTTATTTTTTCTCTTTCTTTCTCTTTGCAGCTCTCTGCAGTAATGACGATGACGATGACAATGACGATGATGATTGAAGCCATTTTAGGATGAAGTCTTAACAAACGTCCGGGACAAACAATGCAAGCTTCAAATTGTGGAAGTAAAAAAAAAAAAGAAAGTGTCAAATTAGTGGACTGTGTCTTTTTATCAAACTAATATCGTGTTGGTCTGAATAATATGTTTTCTTTTTGTCAAGACATATTTGCAAAAAGAGGAATGGTATCATATTTGGGCTTTAGATTAAATGTTAATACACATTCAGATGTCACCACTTATCTGTATAGTGAATGTACTCATGGCTGAGGCCAGCTGTAACTCATAATGGTTGTCCACAGAGTGATCCCAGGAAATCCTGAGATCCCAGGTTGAAAATCCTTTGTAGAAAAGAAAATCTTTATTCTAAAAAATTTATAATCTATTTCCTGAGCTCTCCTTCCAATCGTGTCCTGTCAGATACCCTCAAAAACATCACAAAGGAACACAATTGTCAGCCTGTTTGTGTGAGTCTGCCTTCTCTCACACGAAAATTACCTTGTGGCCTTCCTACACCTTGAAACCAACTCCTTATGCCCTGAGTATGAGAATCTTGCCGCCTCCTCCCGGTGCCAGAGGCGTGTTTGTGTGTGGTTGCAATGCTCTAACTGGACTGGTAGATTTTGGAAGACTGGCAACTTTAAAAGAAAGTCTTGGTTCAAAGGGGATTGGGCCCCCTTGTAGTAGACTGTCCTGTAATGAACTGTTTACTCAGTATATTTGTTTGTTGTAGGCAGCCAAGGACAGGTCAACAATTCTGTTAAAGTCTGTTGTACAAATAACGAAGTGTCCTTAGGAAATTCTGCAAATATAACACAACCTGGAATGTCCTTTAGACGCATGGTGAGATGGAGCTGAAGGGAAACATTGCTTACTTAACTCTGGGAGATATATGTTATAGGAATAGGTATGAGTACTTAGGTGCTCGAGTACTCCTTACTGACGTTATCAAGCAAGTAACGTTCCATTGCACACGTGTTGTTCTGTCTTACATGTCTTATCTTTACAAATACAAATCACATACTTGTTAATATTCTAAAATATGACACAAACTGATTCTTTCTTTTATTGAGAGCTGGCAGCAGGCAAGACGTGGGACTTCAATAACCACTGGTATCCATATTCAAGGAATAGGTATGAGTACTCAGGTACTCGAGTACTCCTTACTGACGTTATCAAGCGAGTAACATTCCATTGCACACGCGTTGTTCTGAGCAACAATATTTCTCAAACTAACTTAGTTAGTTAGCATTACATGTGACACCAAGCTTTCTGGGTTTGATGAACTGAATACACTAAGTAAGAAAATAATAAATGGTACACAGAGGTGTAACATCTCCAGCAACCACTTCAGCTTAATTCAATATCAATGCAGTGGGTGCAGCGAGAAGGATTATGACAACAACAACTGCTTTATGGCAGCTACGGTAACTCTTTAGGGACACATTACTCCAAAGCCCACAGCGAACTGAATGCTCTATTCATTATTCTGAAAATGTATTAAAGAAATCATGTCACTTCTTAAAGGGATAGTTGGGTATTTTTGAAGTGGGGTTGTATGAGGTACTTGTCATTAGTAAGTATATTAGCCACCAGAGCTGAGCTAAGCTATACATTGTAAGAAGACGGGTAAGTGTGCTCAATGATATAAAATACAATGTTGGGATAAATGTACGCTACATTGAAAAAGAAATGTCAGCACTTACTGAACGTTACTCAACATATCACTATTTATCCATTTTTAAACACTGTTTGATTTCAACCCATATCAAATTATTTACTACAATGGATAACATGGAAATGAGACTTGAAAGAAGGTCTTTGGCACTTGGACTCTACGGGGTAGTTGATGTGTTTGGAGAATGTCAAATATGAGCGTCAAGAGAATAAATCCCCCCATGGAGTCTAGAAACTCGTGGTGGTGAAGATGGACGGTGATGGGGAGTTGGAGGGGCGTTAAAGACGCATTAGTTGTAAGTCACGGCTGAATGCGTCATTTTGTGGGCTAGCAATCGATAGCATGTTGGATATTACAGCGTCAAAGGCAAAGGTGAGGCTATAAGTCAGTTTATTTTGGCTGGATTCAGTCAGTCCTGGGAAGAATTGTATTCTTAGTGTATTTGTGCATCATGGGCAACACGGGACAAGTCAACATATCTGTAAATGTTTGATGCACAAGTCAAAGTGACCTTTGAAGTCCTTCAAACACATCGTACCCTTGGATCTCCTTTTCATTCACAGTGACCTGATGTTAGCTTGCTAGACTCTTTAGCATTTTTGCCGTTTAGCTAACACAAGTAGCTAGTATGGATTAAAGCCTTGACCATCAAATCGTAAGCTTTCCTCGTAAAGGTTGACCAAATGTGTTTTAACATATCTTATCTTTACAAATACAAATCACATACTTGTTAATATTCTAAAATATGACACAAACTACTTCTTACTTTAATTGAGAGCTGGCAGCAGGCAAGACGTGGGCCTTCAATAACCACTGGTATCCATATTCAAGCCATTGTAGACTGTCCTTTGATGAACTGTATATTCTGAGTGTTTGTCCATCATGGGCAAACGCAGACAAACCAACAAACCTGTAAATGTTTGATGCAAAAACAAATCATGTGTTGTGGAGAAAACCTCCAAACACATGACAACCTGAAATCTCCTTTTAACCTGCAGAGAGAAGGTTAAAGTGAAGAATTACTTAATCAACTGTGGGCAAAAACACAAACAAAACCACTGAATTTGTAGGCTAATTTTGTGTTGCATTTGTTTCATCCTAGAGATTGTTCCCCAATCATAATTTCTGGTAAAAATCATATTTTTAAAGAAAACATAAGAACCATGATAAATTAAGTTGTTGACAGCAAAACAGATTGTAACTAATTTGTCAAAAAGGCCAAACGGTGACTAAATGTGTGATTTCAAAACTGTTTAACCTCTTTGCTATAAAGGTAACACAAGTAGTGAGTAATGATTGTAAGCCTTTACCATCAAATTGTTGTTATTTTTCATTGTACTTTAACTAAAGTAATGTTTGTAGATATGTTTGTCTTTACAAAAGTAACCATAGACTGTTTTTATCTTCATGTCAAGGTGTACAACTCTTGGATGAAAACCTCTTTTGTTAAACCCTAGCTGTGACTCCACATTTTCAAGATCAACAGTCCTCATTGTTGTGATATCACGAAGGTGGGAGGAGGGAAATATTGCTTTTCAACTTGTGGACTCAAAAGTAAAAGCTGTTGATGAAAAATCCTTCATGTCAAACCCCAGAAGACTTGGAACGATGCCATGAGCAGCTTAGATAAAGGCTCAGTGGCTCTGTGAGGCTCAGTCATTTAGCTTTCCCTGAGCAAACCTTCATGTCTGGTGGTTGTTTCAACTTATATTCTGAAAAACATTATCCATAGCATCATGAACCTTTGGTTCAGCAGTCTTTTTCCGTTGGTGAGGTTGTTTCTTAGCAGCTCGGCTCTGACAACTGAAGAATGCAAACCCCTGGTCAAACCCTTTTCAACTTTCGAACCGGTAAGCCCTCTTTTACTGCTCGCCTGGGTTATTGGATTAGCTAGTGTGATAGGGTTGACAAAGAATCTGATCAAAAACTTTGCTGAAAAGATTACAGTATTTACCTGTTATGCTACCCAGTACTACACCTGATTTTGCATGCTGGGTATCTACTTCTCTGCTTTTTTGATCATCTACCGATGTAAGGAAGGTGGAAATTAATTTCTGAATACTCTGATAATGCAATACATGATGCCTTGTTTCAGGTCAACCATGAGCCTGTGTGTTAACTTCTGTCCATGGTTACGAGGCCCCATCATATGATTGTGGATGTGGGGATCAGGCTGTGAGTATACAACAGTGCCACATCATCAAACAATAATTAAAATAACCAAAGAAAAAAGAAAAAACACTCTAAAACACTTCTGCTAAATGTAGTCAACTTTTATTATGAAATAAGGGATCCAGATTCACCTAATTCCTAGTCACTTCACCCTGATTAACTGCTAAGCCTAACCATGGAGATTTTCAAGTATGGCACGTATGATTCATTATCTTGTCAATGGGTGTTTGATGTAAAATAAACACAAGCCGCCTTTAACTGTAAACCAGTCAGCTATTTTTGCTAGATGTTTGCTAGCAAAAAAACATGGAGTCAAAACCTTCATGTATTTCTTCCTACTAAAATGCTGCCAGTACATTGTACATGGGACCAACAGGCCACAAGTACAAAGTGTTATCAGTGTGATAAGAGAAATATATAATTTGAATATATATTTTTAACTAAAACATTCTAATATTCACTCTGTTATAAGAACACTCTAATGACTGAGATTAGATTTGTAAATTTTCGAATGAAGACTGAAGACAGACTTTTTCAATTAACATAAAGCTTTTGTTGAGTTTCTATTTTTGTCATGTTTTTTTTCAAGTTCTTCACCTTACATTTCTTCCATTTGGTCCACAGACCTATATATGTCCCCTCCTCATCAACCCCTGTCTCTATGGAGTTAGATCAGTCTCAGTGTTCATGAATGCACACGGAAGGATTCACAAATGTATTTCAATGCACACACAAATATATTTAATTCTATATAAATGTAAAACTGAACTACAAATGTAAAAAAAGATTCACAAATGTATTTCATTGCACACACAAATATATAATACACATGTATTTAAAAAACACATTAGTATCTTGTTACATTTATATACAAACTGTTTGTCATTTGTGAACCTCACTGCATTTGTGTGTGAAGCTTTTGAGACTCCCCTGCTGTGGTTAGATTCACAAATGCATTTTTTTTTCAGCAGGGAAATGTCTGTAGCCAATCAGATGTCTACTTCCTATTCAGTCAATCACAGTAGCGTGGATTCAAGGGTATGTTTTAATGTGATCACTTTAGCGTTACATCTGTGCATACAGTATAATGGAGATCACAAAATAGGAGGTGAATTGAGGCAGTCATGTAATGAACTGAATACTCAGTGTATTTGTGTATCCTGAGCAGCAATCTGTAAATATTTCTTGCACAAAAAGTTCTCAGAAAAGCAAACACAGCACACCCTGGATTCTATTTTTTCCAAAGAGAGACACAGGTGAAGTAAACTGTCACCCCCCCCAACCCACCCCCCACCCCCACCCCCCCAAAAAAACCAACAGATTACCTCTTTGTGTACACATAGTTGAAAAACCTAGACCACTTGGAACTGTGCCTTGAGCAGCTTCTATAAAAACTGGATGATGGCTCTGTGAGGGCCAGTTATTCAGCTTGGAGAAAAGCTTCCTACTTGTGTTTTCATTGAGCGATACTCTGAAGCTAACCATCTGTATCATCATGAATCTGTGGTTCAGCAGTCTTTTCCTGGTGGTTGGGTTTTTCATGAGCAGCTCAGCTCAGTCAGTTGAAGAATGCAGGCCTCTGGTCACACCTCTTCCTACTTTTGAACCGGTAAGACTCCTCTGCTTCTTAATGGATCTTTAGGTGAGCATTAGTATTAATGTAGTAGTACACAGACCTTTAAATCACAGATCTTTAAATCTTGATTCAGTTTCTTCCTCCTTTTCTTTAGGATAAGGATCAGCAACAACTTAACACTTAAAGACAAATTCACTGCAAAATCTTAAAAGGTTAACAACCTTCCCCTTAAGTCACTTAAAAATATGGTTACTTATTTCCAATGTGACCATACTCAGCATAAATGTTGATTGATATGAACAATATGATCAAAGACTTTTGGTACCCAGTGCTACACCTTTATTCAATTGGTGCCAATAAACACTGAATAACAGATTGTCTGTTCAGCTTTGCTTACTTTTAATAAAGATATTTATTTCTACTTCACTGACTTCTTGTTTGTCTGCAGAGTTATGGAAAGTGGATCTTCATCATGGGTTGGATTGATAGTGAACCATTTAAAGTATTGTTCAGATCAGCAAAGAGCCAGTGGATTCATTTCCGTGAGACACCGGGACAACCCAAGGAACTTGTTGAGGATATTGGGATCAGGCAGTGAGTATAAGCAGTGCAACGTTTATATACTGTGACCAGTGCCGGTGCATAAGCTGTATGCACGAGACCGCTACGATCTCTTTGCACGTAATTTAACTGCTGCTTTATGTTTCTTGTTCTCCATTATGTTCTTCTCCACTTTGAGTATTGTCTTTTTACATGTTCTTTTGTAATATTAAGTAACAAAGAGTAAGGTCTCTTAACCAGCTTTTTGTAAAGTGTCTTGAGATGACACTTGTTATGAATTGGTGCTATCCTGCAGAATTTCAGCAGCTCAAATGTGAAAACGTCTTGCATCAATCTCTTGTAGTGTTAGTTTATAGAATGAACCACCTTTGTTACACTATTGTGTGAATGTTCCAGTCCTAAACAGGGTTTTTCCAACTTGTTCTTCAACCTCCAAAAGACATGAACTTCCCTTTTATCCTTTATTTTTTCACAGCCCTACATATTGCAAGTACGGATCATCCCCTGTAACTCTTCATATGAACACTGCAATAACTGACAGTAAGTCACCTGATTAGATATGATACTTTAGCTTGTCAGTGTTCGTTCTGGGCGTCAATGAGTCTGGGTTTATCCAAACAAAAGTACAACTGATTAATAAGTGAAACAGCTGATTTTGACCAGTATTTACTTTATAGTTGAGTGACCAACTCCTATTGTCATAGTCGTTATCTTAGGTAACAGAAAGAAGCTATTATGTAAGGGATTTAATTGCCAAAACCAACCCATACCCCGTCCTTTCTTCCAAATTCCTAACAAAAGTTAGACCATTTCACAACATCGAACACAACTTCGGCCCGTTTGTTTGGAAAATGTATAGGTATGAGGGCTTTTTGCCTTTCATATAATACTGTAAATTTTAAACTCTGACTATTATCCACCTTCATTTTAGTCTAGGAGCCAACTCAACAGTGGATGCCTCAGATAATGGTGCTGTAATTGTGTTTTTTATTTAACTGTTTTTCTTTTCAGAGACAAACTTCAGCTGCACATATCACTCTCTTCCAACCTGTGAGGGATGTCTGCTGTATACTGTCAACAGCAGAAACAACAATAATTTACTTCCAATTATGAACATCACCAATCCCACAACCATTCATGAGGTCAAAGGCTATCGAGCTTTTTACCTGATGGGTAGGAAAACCAAAAGAGCAAATACCTCCTTCTATATCCAAAACATTTTTCATATTAATTTTATTTTCATTTTGTTATGGCCCCAGCTAGAGAAAACCACGTCAAGCACTATGAACTGGTACGTACCATGAAGACAGCCAAGTGTCTTGGTTTTACAGGAGAACCAGACTTCCTCTATGACCCAGAGAATAGTGAGTAACCTTCAAACTTGTCCAATTAAATAATGAAATTGAGATCTGTGATTTCAGACATAACTAAATTACTTTACTGTCTTTCTCTTTACAGCGTTGTGTATTAAAGGAAAAGAAAAATGAAGACAATAGAAGCCCATCTTCAGCTGAACTAAACTGAAGTGTTGGAAGTAAAGAAAGTGTCTTAAAACATTACATTTGTGGATTGTGTTTTTTTTAATCTTATGAATACAGAATGGGTGGGGATGAAGGGGTATCAGTATAGATGCTGTTTAAGGTTTAAAGGACAGATGCATGCAGGTTTGGTACCAGCCACAAGAAGTTAGTTATTGTGCAGCAGAAACACAGTTAATAGAGCTCTTCAAAAATACAAGGCAGGGTTGTCACAGTCGGGTGGGGTGGGGGTCTGATTCATGATTGATTAATTGTGAGATTGTATTTTATTTTAATTTATTTTATAAGTGTCATGCTCACAAAGTGTGCCTTAAATTTGTGTGCGTGACACAAAGTCTTTTTTTTATTATTTTGGTTTAATTGATAGTTAAAATCATAAAAGAAAAATCAATTTAGTCAGATCTAGTAGGTGGTAACCTCATCACTGTGGACCGTTTCCTCGCCCCAGTGTTATGTTAACACCTAAAGCATTATTAAATCCCAAACATTGTGATAACAGCCCAACCAACTTCATTTCAGTTGAGTGTTTTTTACCTGTTTGTGATAAATATTCACATTAAGCCTGTACTCCATTGGTGTATTTCTGTTAAAGGTCTAGTTGGAAAGGTCTAGGAACCTCTGACTTCAGATAGTGTGATTGATAGATAATTCTTAAATTAATGTGTGCTTAGTATCATCTAGTATCACATTGTTGTCAATAATGTACATTGACTGGTGCCCCGTGTGAGGCTCAATTATATAGTTTAAGCTATTAATTGATAGCCTTCGGCAATCCTTGGTTTTAGATTTACAAACAATATGCTATAAACCCTTATACATTCTCAAACATAATAAAAACAACGCCTATCTGAAATGAAGTTATTTGAGCTGTTATCCCTATGTGTTTGCTAACCATTGTACCATGACAATATATTGTCTTAAATACGGCACTGTGCTTTAGATTTATTGAACCAATGTGGTTTATTTGTTTAGGACTTGTGTGTGAGATTATGCAACCTTATGTTTTGGTAAGCTTTGTTGTATGCTTTTGTATCAGCTGAGTCATGATCTGCTGCCAAGACAGTCAGATTGTTGTTTAAATTAGCATATTTCAGCACCACTGCATGCTCCTGTAACTGAACTTCCGATATAATGCTTCACCAGCATGGTGAATAAAAATGAGTACATAAATATAAGGATAAAATACTGAATATGTACTTTGAGAAGAACCCAATGAATTCAATTACTTTTGCATCAGGTTGATGCAAGAGTAAATTGTTGACTATTATTCTCTCAATCAAAAGTAATGTTTCCCGGCCATTGGTTACAATAGTTGTGGCAGTGATCTTTAAAAAGGCAAATTTAACTAAATGTCAACCCCTGTAGCACATATTGATTATTTCAACTACATGCATCCTGCATACACCATTAAACCTCAACAAATGTTCTAAAACACAGCAGCGGCGAGAGTGTTCTTAAACCAACCTAAAAACATGTCACTTTGCTGTTCATCTTCCTCAATTGGTTCCCAGTTGCTCGCATCAAATTTAAAACCCATCTGCTCGATTCCAAACGGCAACAATAGACTCACAGCGTATATGAAACACAGCAGAGCATAGTGGCGGACTGCAGTGCTTGCTGTGTGAACACAATAATTGACTAGAATGACTAGACATACGGCATAATTTGCGGCGCTAATGGACCGCAGGGCGCACTGAGTATGTATGAATTCGGGGTTAGTCTCTAACTATACTCTTCTCCTCTGTTGCCCCCCTGGTGAAACGAACTACCAAACTCCATTTGATCTACAGACTCCCTTTGCACCATTCAGAAGAAGCTTAAGAGCCCGCTCTTAAATGAACATCATGCACTTTATGATTTTGATGATGATATTGATTACATTGATGATGATGATATTTAGGATGATTTTGGAAGCTAATCAAAAGCTCTCAAAAGCTCTCAAAAGCAGCTGTCGTTGTTGTTGATGATGATTCTTGCTTGTGTTGTACTTATTCTCAGATGTACGTACCTTCTTGGATAAAAGCGTCGCTAAATGAATTCAAAAATTTTAGAATTGAAACAAAGAAGACAATAACAAATAATAACAAATAACAAAGTAAATAGGGGAGGAAAAAAATTTCTATTCAAAATCAAAGCCTGAAGTGAACTGATGTGGGTCAAAATCTTTGGCTGGTCCGAGAAAAACGATGAAAATCTGAAGAACTAAAGTTCCAGAGACATCTGTCGAAGAAGGTATACAAAATGAAACTCCACATTGCAACTGTTGAAAGACCTCAGAGTGACTGTTTCGTTGGCAGCTTCAATAATTAGTTTTTGTCCATCCAAAGCGTTTTCATATTTAATTATACAACCAGGACAATTGTTCCATCAGGTAAAGTTTTTTGAGACTGTGTATTTTATTATTAATCCATCCTTCCATTTTCTTGGGCTGGACTGCCGAATTAGACCTTCAGCACCTTTACCTTCACCTTGTTCTAATGCTGCTTTTGATTGTATGTCAAAGCACTTTGTAAACCTGTGTTTTTAAAGGTCCTATAGAAATAGTTTGATTATTATTAATAAAAAAAGATAAGTTGCAGTCCATGTTTATACTCTGTCCTTCACAAGAGAATAAGTTTTTCCCTTTAACCCTTTGTGTGAGTTTGTCTTTAAACACCCTAAATCAACTAGCAGCAGATGATCACAGTGTTCTTCAGGACGATAAGTAACAAAGGAGCTAGATATGTAGCTTGGTCCTGGAGAGCTGCACAGTGCTGAATGACTGTAAAAATTCCACCCTTCAATAACAACATAAAGAAATCATTTAATCACAGTTCTCAGACCTCAATCCAATCCAACACCTTTGGGAAGAACCGGCACACCGACTGAGAGCCAGACCTCATCAGACAGCATCAGTGCTGGAGCCCAAATCCCTGCAGTCTCCAGCCAACATCTGTTCATGTTGATACTTCCTCCTTATTTTAATCTATTCTTACTTTGTTTCTCCACTGTTGCTTCTGGAATTTTCATTTTTTTATAGCTTCAATTGAATTAGTGACAGAGTATTCATGTTACATCTGCAGTACATCTGAGGCAGCAGCAGCAAATCAGCTGTATGATACTTCAATCAATGATAACTCAGCTCCTAGCTTTTCACAGGAGCGGGAGGGGGTCAGAGGTCAAAGTGAGCTCAGTACAAAATAAGGTTTCCAATCATACCTGTGTGATAGGAGTGAGTGGATGTATGTGATGAATATTACCCATGGAAGGATAGAACAGCACGCTCCAGAATTTCAATAATATGCCTGTCAGTGTTTGTGAGTGGATGTCACTCGGGAGATATTTCAGCATATGCAGTTCATGTGCATGTGTGTGTGTGCAGTAATCGATGAGTGTGTTCAGGCTGCCCTCGTCTGGTCAACGGAGGCATTATGTGTCTGCTCTACTCAGTTGAAGGATTAAAAGTCTGTATTGCACCACACCTCACATCTGTTTAATTACTGCTTTGATTTGATAGTTTTGTTTATTTAGACACTTTTCAGCATATTAAAAAAAGATGGGAAGATCACCAGGTACACAACGATCAAGGAAAATACTTTTATGATCACTGATAGGTAATTCTTCACAACAGTCAGTATCTACTGTATATTCAGAGTGGAAAAGATGGGTCCTATTTGTGAACCTTTATGTGAGTAGGGACTACAACACATTGCTGGAGAAATTCAGTGGCTGCAGAATTAGTTGCATCATTAATATGCAGGTTGAATTCACCAGCTAAGGTTCTCATTCTTCAACATAAGACGTCTCTTAATCCCATTTGCACCAATTCTTTCTCAGTTTGAACACAATAAAAGATTTTTTTTTTTTTATCTTAAAATCTTTGAAAATGTGAGATTTTATTGGTGATTATGATGATGGTATTGACAATGGCTTTGTTTGATAACAACAATTTTAAGATGGTTTCTATACTGATAAGAGCTCTCAGGAACTGCTGTCAATGCTGTGCTTTTCTCTGGTCACTTCCTCAGCACCTGTGTGTCCAATCGGACTCAAAACTTTTTGTTGCACTTCCTGACATTGTTTCTTCCTTTCTAGATCCTTGCATGTGTTGCACTTACTCTCTGATGTACGTCGATTTGGACAAAAGCATCTGTTAAGTGAATTGTAGATTTGTAGAGCCCCACACATGACATTTAATTTTGATTTTGATATACTTTATTAATCCCAGAGGGGAAATTCGGGTTTAAAGTCTGTTATTTTTAGGGACATCTCTGATCTCTCCCTGCATAGAAGTGTTTGTTTCCCCCTGTGTTCAGTGATGTATGGCCTCCTCTGCTTATCATCAGCCAGCTGTCACAGCAGGAGGTCCCATCATCCTCTCACCATGTGTCACTGTGGATGACGTTTGGGTTTCTTGTGACTGATACGTCTCAGCTCCACTGTAACTTGAACCTCGGCGAGTCAAGTATTGCTCTGATTTCTGATCATTGAGTCGTCTGAGGAGCTGAGCAGAGTGACACATCAAGAGCCAGCTTTCACCTAATAACAACAAATGAATGCCGTAGGAGCAGTCGGGAAACTGTGAGTTATGGATTTTCATAAAACTGTAATGTCTTTGTCTTCTCAGGTTTGAATTCATCACCTGATATCACCTTAAATAAAAAGAAAAAAGGAGGGGAAGTCAGAGTTACAACAGTTTAATGAAAAGAGAGGAAACAGGGTCTCTGCAAATCTGCTGTTTTTATTAGTAACCTCGACAGAGGTGAAAACTTTATTTTTGCCTCCTGAGATTTATTCCATCATATTTATCTTGAAATTAATTTCAGCTCCAACGTCTTTATGTCCATCTACTTCCTTTAGGAGAAAGTTTAACTTCAACCTATTCATCTCTAAATGCACTTTCATCTCCTGTGTGCTCTCTTAAAGTTTTGTCATTGACGTTAACTTCTGCAAAGAATCACAACAAGGTGAAAGCACACACACACATGTCATGGGTAGCTGGCTAGAAAACGTTTCTCCTTCTCTCCTCCTCAGCTGTC